TACAGAAAATAAAAAATTCTAAGAATCTAAGAATTCTGGGCATCTCTGCATTCAGGTAATTAGTGTGAATAAATTTATGCGTCAATATCGTGAGAGATCTACTAGTAAACTGTGACATGATCAAAAATGCACATGACACCTGACCATTGATTAACAAGAAACAAAACACATGATGAAATTTCAGCGTTCTCAGGTCGTCCAAATCTGCCAAGAAAAAAAATAACACTGAACAATGGGATCATAATATCGTTGTAATATATTTTTATTAATAATATATACAATCTATCTATTTTAACTTAATCAGATGTTACTGTTGAACTATCTTCTAAGTTTCTACTTGATCAATTTAAAGGAGTATTGTGCAGTAAAGACATGTTAACAATTAATATATTCTGCAAAACTAAGGCTAAACAAAACCAATTATTTGTTTAACATAACATAAGTCAACCAAAAATAGAGAGGGGGGGATCAAAAATAATACATATTATAAATTTTTATTTATTTATTTAATATTCTAAATTTGTATTACAAAAAAAATGATTTGATTATTTTTTATGACGTTTAAAAGAACGCCCATTAGTTTTAATTTCTATTCTAGTATGAAATTCTTTTTGATTATTTTGACATTCTTCACATAATGGATAAATTTGTTTAAAACGTTCTTTTAAAGATTGAGAAGGAGTCACCAAACCTTCACTTTCTTCACAATAATAACAAATTAAATAATTTCCTGATTTACGACTTGAATAATATGTTATTTTGATTGGTAAATCACAGTTAATTCGCATACGTATGAATATTATTTCTTTCAAATAATGATCATCAGGAAAAATTGGTATATCACAAGAATATGAATATAATTCTAATGCCTGTTGATAATCTTCTTCTTCTTCATAGGTCAAAGATTTATCACTATATACACAATAACGTTTTTTAGAATATTCACAATTGATATAATCGCGGATTTTTCCTACAACCAAGATAGACTTTGGAATAGACTCTGTATTTGCTTGGGATTGCATATATGTTGGTCTATACTCTTCAGTAGTTTCAGTTCTATAAACATTTTGAAAAGGTGTATAATGATCTTTATTGTCTAAATTTTTTAAAAAAAAATAAAAAAAAATTAATATTTAATTAATATTATATGTGTGATATAGTAGATTACCTTATGAAGGTATCGGGTCTAGAAGAAAACTCAAGTTGTGAAACTCATGTAATGGAAGACAGATTGGTTTACAATATTCACAAGAAGTATTGTTGCATTTTTTTATCTGTTGTATTATTAAATTATGTTTAAAAAATAAAATTTTAATTTATTTCAAAATTTTATAACACATACCTGAAAGCTGTAAGCATGTAAATAACAATGGGTATTCATAAATTTGATCAATGCAAGATGACGACGTATTTGTGTTCGTGTAGTTTCTTCTATTTCCAAAGTTAGATCTATATTAGAAATAGACTGTTTCAAAAGTAAAAATAGTTAATTAAGTATAAAAATTAATAAAAATATTAATAATTAATTTAAAGATTATAATAATAAACTTTACCTTAAACAATTCGGCAATACTTTCTTCAATTGCTGATTTAAGACATTGAAATTTCTTATTTTTCAATAAAAGTCGTTCCGTTCGCATATTTAACATATTTTGGACACTTGCTATACTCTTCTTTAATTTGGATTCTAGCCTACTATATTCTTGAGCTTTTTTACGTATCTCGATTAAATCATTTACTATAAGAAACAAATCCTCAGATTCAGAGCTCATTTATCACGTTTGAGTGTTACATCTTGAAGATCTAGATTTAAAATACTTATAACGTGTTCTGCTAAATTTGTCCAACTATAATTAAGTGCTATACGAACTGCAATAAGCAAATCAAAATCTCCACAAAAAAAAGACATATCAATGCAATTTGTACTGATCCATAATTACACTGATGATCTGGACCTCTGTCAGTATAAAGGCACAAAATTGGTGGCATTATTTGATGTTTATATTGGATGTTAAGTGCATCTAAAAATTCAGCTGAATGTTGAATAGCAGTACTTGATTCAAAAACTGTATCTTTATAAGATACAAATACTTGACCGTCATAAAATGATCCAGAAATGTCATTAGGAATTGATATAAAAAATATAACAGATGGTGTTAAAGAAAGTTTAGTAAAATTATGATCGGAAGCAGCCAAAATGCTTTTTTTTTTTTTTATTTTATTTTATAAATGCGGCAGTCTTACATGATCTTTATTAAATTTATGAAATTACAAGAAAAACAAAATAAAACAGAAAATACAAAAATATCTATAAACTAATTTAGAGGACTAAAACTACTTTATCAATATCAACCTTGCACTTTTACCGAACTAAACTATATAATAGAAAAGAAAAGGAACTAATCTAAACTAATGTACAGATATCAAACGTCTGAAAGAGAGGGTGTGGTTACTGCCGTACTAAAAATTTGACCAGTGAGAACCAAAAGCAAAGGCTGCAGAAAAGGAGGAAAGGTTATTATGCGGAGTTTGAGTGGGTTGTGAGAGTCCAGAGGAAGCCCAAGCAACAGTGAAATCATCTTTGATGTTGTTCAAAGTTTTTCAATTTTGTAATGACATATATCATGTTAACTATATGTTATGAGCTGAGGAGAAAATATCATCGAATAAGGATGATAGTAAACCCTGGGTGATTTGTTTGTTGTTGGTAACGGAAGTGATTGAGGAGGAAAATGATGAGGGGATGATTCCTTTTATGAGATCCATAAAACATAAGTTGTTATTGAAAGAATTGCAGTACCATATTGAAGATTGA